CTTTCCCTAGTCCTGGAGATCGACTTCTCAGAGCTTGTTCTGGAGGAAATCATTGGCATAGGGGGCTTCGGAAAAGTGTACCGAGCTATGTGGATAGGAGATGAGGTTGCTGTCAAGGCAGCTCGCTATGACCCTGACGAGGACATCAGCCAGACCATTGAGAATGTCCGCCAAGAGGCCAAGCTCTTTGCAATGTTAAAGCATCCCAACATCATTGCCCTCAGGGGTGTGTGTTTGAAGGAGCCTAAATCATTGGCATAGGGGGCTTCGGAAAAGTGTACCGAGCTATGTGGATAGGAGATGAGGTTGCTGTCAAGGCAGCTCGCTATGACCCTGACGAGGACATCAGCCAGACCATTGAGAATGTCCGCCAAGAGGCCAAGCTCTTTGCAATGTTAAAGCATCCCAACATCATTGCCCTCAGGGGTGTGTGTTTGAAGGAGCCTAATCTTTGCTTGATCATGGAGTTTGCCCGTGGAGGATCACTAAATAGAGTGTTGTCTGGTAAAAGGATACCTCCTGACATACTAGTGAACTGGGCAGTACAGATTGCGAGGGGAATGAACTACCTGCACGAGGAAGCAATTGTTCCCATAATTCACCGTGACCTGAAGTCCAGCAACAGTAAGTGCTACACAGTGAACAGCCAGGGTGCTGGGATAGGATTTTGGAAAGACATGGTACAGGAGAGAGAGGGGGTAGTAATGTTAACTTATCTTTCCCTTCTTGTGAACCACTGTATCCTCTAATTCAATCCTAGAGGGGTTTATTTTTCAACAGTATGGTGCTACGGACCACAGGAAATGAGTGAATGCTTTTAAGCAACTTAAATGAAATGCAAAAGCAACTATAAGCGGAGCATGCTTCTCCAGTAGTTCATATATATATATTCAGCGTCTTAGTTATACTGGCATTTCAGCAGACCTCTGTATGTTGGGAAGTCTTGTTGAGCTCAAGACATGTATTCTCCTTCCATTTTTTGGAAGGATAAATGCTCCTTTAGAACCATAAATGCCTCCAAGCTTTCAATTTACTTGCTATGTTGTGCTGTTTGGATGAGATGCAAGCCTGCTTTCCTTATGGGAGATTTGACCTCTCCTTGTTGAATTGAATCTTCTTACAGCTGGTGTTGACATAAACAGTAAGTTGGGTGAAATGACATGTCCCACTGGGTTTGCTTGTATACCCAGAACCTTAGCTGATGTTTGTGGTGGTTTACATGGAATGCTGTGGTCCCACTAGAGCATGGGGACTGTACTTTGGTAGTTATGATTCTGAAAATCATGGTGAGTACCTGCTCTGTAATACTAATAGCATTATTGTATGCCCCTTAGTTATTTTGTAGTGTTAACTGTTTTCCCAAACTTAAAGTTGACTTGAAGTCAAATGCATGCATAGAACATTACTTACCAGTGTGGAAGCAAACTGCTGCAGTGGTTTAAAGATTATCCTGTCTTTTCCTGATGCCTGCATGCAGCTGTTTAGCCTTTCTTGCTGCTTGTCTGTGTCTAGATGGCAGGAGCAGATGTGTCCCTGCACATTTGCTGCAGTGGTTTATATTGGTGTATTAGTATGAACATTCATGGCTTGAGTTAATAAGAACCACAGGGAACTGAGTGTTTGGGATGAAAGCCTATATTCTCTTTTTTTGAGGGCAATAACATCTAGTAAAGAGGTCTGACAGATGGAAATTTTAGTATCTTGAATAGATTCACTAGAGCTAGCATTAACCATTAAAATGTAAATGTCCAGGCCTTACAGAATCTTCCTGTAGTTCTTTGGCCTCAAATCTTGTGGTAGTGAATTGACAATAGTTTGTTCTGAAGGAAAGTATTATTAACTGTTGTTAGTGAGTTTGAAAATAGGGACTATGAGAGATTCCAAGTGAACTTCTATGACAGTATTCTTATACAAATGAAGTTTACTTTTTTGTTAGAGAAGGGCCATGTTAATGTCTATAAAGATCTAATATCTAAGTTTTCCCCTTCCTTATACATATGACAGTATAAATACGGGCATATTGATAAATGCTGTAAAATGAAGGATTGACTGGCTTGGTTAATGGATGACTGGCTTAATCTGTGAATAAAGAATAGTTGCCTTTAAGTGTTGGGCCTTTCCTCCTTACCTAAGAAAAGACTTGCTGGCTTGTTTTGCTAACAGGCCATTAAGACTTCATTGCTTAATACTATCTGAACGTTTTTGAGGTTTAAAGTGAAAGTAATTTCTAAGATAAAGAGCTATTAGCTCCTGATAGTTTGCTGTTTTATTCTGACTAGAGACTGCTAGTTTTAAAAGGTAAATGTATCAACCCGAGAACCAGCCCAGCTGGAGGGGACACCAGAGCCCAATGTCGCCAACAAAGCACAGATGTGGATGCTTGCATCAAGAGCACATGTCTGTTGTCATGGTGAATCAGCAGTACACATGTGTGCTGCACTGTAAATTGCCAGTGAGAAGTTGAGGGGCTTGCTACATATATTACTAGAATTTTCCTCATTTGGGAGGAAGCAATAACAAAGGAAGAATAAGTGGGAATGGCTGTGGAAGGTTTCAAAGAGGTCCTATGTTTGGAGGGAAGAGGTAGTGGATTTACATGGCAATTTTGACCAAAGATACTGTCAGATATAATACAGAAATGATAGACACAGGGAAATTCTAGCCCAGCTGAGTCTGCAGAAAGCAGTATTACATTTGGGGAACTAAATACATGTAGGAGCTGGAACTGAGTGTAGGACTTCAGATATTTTATGCAAAATTCATTGATGTGTAACTGTTTTGAAGTAAGATGTATTAGTAACCTCAAGTATGGGCTTGACATATTACAACAGCTGTTTAGTTTAGTTTGGCAATACAGAGTTTTTTATGTGCAGTATGGTTGAAGAGAAATTTTTAAAAACTGAACTGATTTTAACATTTGAAAATGTGTTGTGGGTATATCTATGAAGTGAATATAAGTATTAGATTATTAAAATGGTGGAGCTTTTTTTTGGGGAGGGTGAGGGGATGGCACTGTTGGTCTTTTCTGTCATTTTTTGTTTGCGTTTTTTCTTGATTGATTTCTAAAAGTGTATACTATGTGTACCTGCACCTATACTTAACTCATGTTCATCTGTAGGATAAACAACTTAGCCCAAGTCATGTCTTTCCTGAATACTCTGTCACCATGTCGCTGAAATCCCCTTTCCATTATAAGTAATACACATCTTGGAAATCTCTGCTCTGTTTTCTATGGAAACCTTTTTACAAGTTTTATAAAAATTAGTGGACCACATATGTCATTGCATCCTTATTTCTAGATGACTTGCACTTTGTGTTTTTTCCTCATGTTGGTTTTCTCAATTACTGTGGATTTTCTACGGTGTTGGCTTTGTGCGAGTAGAATTCAAGCTTGTAGCATTTTCTTTGCACAAGTTACCACCCATGGAGAGGCAGTAATGTGTCTCTTGAGAAGGAACAACTTCTGCTTGCAAGTGCTTGGAAGAGATTCTTGCAGACACATTTCTTTCCTAGTACTGTAGAGCTCCCGTGAGAGCATCAGCTGTATTGATCTGATTGGTGCTGCCTATGTTTAGTAATAGTGATTTTCCTACATCTCATCTTGCCCTCAAGCACCAGCTGGGACCTGCACTATCCATCTGAAGTTGCATGATAACTTAGTTTGGGAGTTGGGGAATAAGATGGGAGAGTGAGAAAGAACAATGTTGTCTTACTTAAAATCAAATTTTCTAATACAATACAAGGATGCCTTCCTTTCAGTGATCTGCTTATATTTGGCAGATACAGAATGCATAAGGACAGTACTTCATGGTTAAGCTTTTAAGAAGGCCACATTACATTTTAAACTGTAAAATAAGTCAGGTGGGCACCCTGATACAAGTCTAAGAAATCACCCAATTATAAAAGGATTTGAAAAAAAAAAATCCTTAATCAGTTGCAGCTTTGTGGTATCAAGTAGTAGGTACCAAAACAATGGTCAGAATAGTTTTCAATATTTCTGATGGAATAGTAAATAACATAAGATTTTGGTTGCTTTGGGAGGTAACATTGTCTTGTATGGGGACTGAATTTCAGAGGATATTTGAAAGTTGCAGGTGGTATCTTTTTCTTGAGATTCTACTTGTCAAAAAACCACACTCCAAACCAATTGTCTGTTTTCCTTCTTTTAAGCAAAAAGGTGTTGCATATTTTTTCTTCATTTTCCCCTTTTCATTATCATATGTTTGTGTTTGATGCTTATACATTTAGAGTGTAGTAAGAGTATCCTGTACATTTTAAGTGCTGTGTTTGTTTGAGGCAGATTTTTATTGTAAAACTTGGAGGTTCTGAGGGCAGCTTGTTTCATTGCTTTGGAATACTATCTGGAAGTAGAGTAGATCTATTAAGATCTTTGCAGAACAAATTGCATACTCAAGACTCTTATTTATTTATTATTTTTAGAAACCCTGAAATTCTTGTTTTGCTGAGTGCCAGTTCAGTTGGCAGTGAGCCTGGTAGGCAGGCATTCCGGTGGCATTACCAACTTGTGTGTTGGTACACAACTACACAAGAGAGACGATATAACCCAGGAAAACCATTTTTTCCTGCTGTCTGAGGAGAGAGGTATTTATCTCTTCTGCATTTGATTCAAGAGTTTCAATTTATTCCATATGAAAATTAATTTTACTGCTCTGATAGAATTCTCTCTGGTATCTTCTCTTCATCTGGTGATACTGCTAGGCTTTTTGTCTTCAGCTGCATGTTGGTCCTCCACTGACAGTGTGTTACATTTCCCAATGTGAAGGCTCTTAAATAATCTAAATGCTGACCTAAACAAAAAAAAGCAACTGGGAGTTTCCACTGAAGTCACCATCACTGGGTTTAGCTTAGCTCTTTAAGAGTTTCCTTTCTCTTGTCACTTGTTTGTGATTTGAGTCTCATTTCTGGCCAGAGGAAAGTGCTTTGTAATGCCTAGGATCAAAAAAAGCAGTCCTATTCATTTTAGTGAAGTATTGTAAAGAATTAAGCTGTTTGTTTCTATTTGTTTGCTGATTTGACATATGCCAGTATTGCTATAGGAATAATGCCAGTTAACTAATGCTGCAGGCAACTAGCAAAAGCATATTTGCTCTCTTTTTTTTTTTTTTTTTTGGCTGGCTCAGCAAAATGCACTTGTTATTTGTGATACATTGAAAGATTTTGCTGAGGGTGTTTGTGCCAGTTAGCAAAGTGCTTTAAAGGAGTCACCATGTTTGTGTTCTACAAAATGGCACGATAGTTTTGCAGTAAAGTGACGTGGCCAAGGTCAAAGAAAGAAGTAAAGACCGAGCTCAAAATAAACCCGAACAATTCTGATTAAGTCAAGTCAGTAGTTCTTCCCTTCTAGTTCTTTGAAGGTGTTCACCTCTCCTACTTTGTGGACCAACCACCAAGGTAAGCTTGTGGTATAATGTGATTCAAAGCTCTAGCTTTCTAAAGAACTCCAAGCTCTGCTATAGCATTGTTTATTTATTACCTGTAGTTGTTAATCCTTTTTCTATTAATAAAAATGCTAATAGAGCTGAGTTTCGTATGATCTCTGGACAGCTGTTCCTAATGTTATTGGTTCTTTATGGTGTTGGTTTTTTTTTTAAATTATGGGCAGA